TTGGATACAACTTGTAGTATACAACATATTGCTAGGCTAATGAATGAAAAGACAAAAACAAAGAGGGTCGGGCAAGGTTTAACCTTGTCGGGCAAGGCTGATCGTCTTACAACTTCCTATCTTTGTGGTTTATCAGGAGGTTTGAAAGCTTAGAAAAGGGGTTGGGAAGTGAGTTTACAGAAAGAAATCAATACTACAGCAAGAGTTGAACAGGGTAACAGAGCTATTACAAAGGGTTTATCCCGAAATGGATGAATGCTTGGGCTGACTACAGCTTCGTTTTGAAGGCAAATCTGGCTTTGAGCAGAGTTTGTGCTTGTATTTGTTGGTTTGTTTGAGTGTCCTCGACTTTGATTTCTCTTTCTCCTTTTATAGACACTTTGGCTTGGCCTCCTGTAGCAATAATCTTGCCCGAATGCAGTTTGAAGGATAGTGACTCATCAGCTATTTACTTGTATTGCCACCATAAAGTACTTTTGGGCTGATTAGCTGGCTGGTCTATACCACTTGGCCCTTGGGTAGGTGAGCAAGTGGTGCAAATGATCTGCACCTAGTCGGAAAAGGCATTTTCTGCCTTCTGGGCTTGGGTTGTGCTTCGGGCTTTTCTCCTCTTTTTGGGCCAACTCCCTTCTAAGCCCAAAGTTTAAGTTTTGACCCAAACACTCTATATGTTATTATCCAATGTGAAATGTGTCTTTGTTGAACTAGACACCATACCATATTCCACTCATCTCACACCCTTTTTGAATTCGACTCCTAATTAGTATGTCCATGATTCCCCTTCAATATAGTACGCATATTAGACAGAAGAGAGAAAGAATGAACCAATGGCGGAAAAAAAAAAAAATTCAGCATTATGACATTTAAAAACTATATGTTGGCCTAAAATGAAATTAAAAATTTTCGCCTTGGAGTTACCTACGTGTTGAGAAAGGATAGGTTTAGGTCAATAATTTGATTCCTTATTTTTCACCTTAATCACAACAAACTCGGTGAAAAACTTGAAGCTAGTGTTCACAAAATGTAGCAATCTCAACAAGCTAAATTTTATTCTTTTTCGTGGCTAATTACTTGTTCGGTAAAGCTAATAAAGTGGATGAATTTTGAAATTAAGCAATCAAAATGTGTACATTTTACAAGCAAAATTCTCTCTTTTTTTTTATTTGTATTATAAGCAATATTATACACTAAGGAGCAGAGGAAAGTTTGAACCTAATAAGCAATGAGTCGAAGAGGAAGACCCTAACCATCAGGGCTATCCATCACTTGTAGCAAACATCGTATTCTTCTTGTACAAAACTTGTTATTTAAGTTTCATTTTGAATTTTTGTTTTATTAAGAAGTAATTTTAGTAGACATTTTTTATATCATTAATTATTTTTATCTTTCGATTTTAGTTAAATTAATTCAATCCAAACTTAAAAAACAATAACAGACAAGAAGATCGTGGCTTAAATATTAAACTAAAAGATGAGCGCACACACTTTGTGTGTGAACAATTTCATTTTCTTTTTTGTCTTTGATTAATGAGTGTGATTAGCTTTTAAAATTTTTAAAAAGAGTATGAAACAATGATGATGAGATCTCTTAATAAGGGCATATTTTTCTTAATATTACATAATTACCATTTTGCCATCTTTATGTAAATATTGTATATTAAAAGTGAGGGAAAAATAGGAAAAATGAGGATATGATTGTCATTTTCTCAACAGATACAAAATTATTATTTTACCCTCCTTATGTATATCAAAAGTAAGAATAAAATTGGAAAAAAAAGTGACAAAAAGTTGACAAGGAGGGTTCTAGAATAGATTAGTGCATAACCTTTTTGAGTTGATTAAATTTGAGATCTGCACTTTGGATCCCTTTAGCAGCTTTTTTTTATTTTTTTTTCATTTTTTACGTCTAATAATTTCAAATATCATTTTCAAGCCAGCTGATATTCCATTGACAAATGGAAGCATGCTAATCATTTCTGCCATAACAGGAGATTAAGGGACATAGAGACTAAATTTCTATGTAAATTTTGTAAACTAAATAATATAGATGTTGTTGATGATTGAATTATTACTTCAGTGTAAATTAACGTGCTTATTTTTTATTGGTGACACATTATTTGGAGTATGATTCTCTCTCATTCTATTATCATCCCCATCCATTCCCTCCTCTGTCCTCTCACTTTTCTTTTTGTCTTATTCTCTATATAAAAAATTCAAAACAAGATGTATACGTGGCGTAATCGCAACCGTTTAAATAGGAGGGGATGAAAGGGGAGAGAGATTAGGAGGGGAGAGAATTCTACTTCATATTATTTAGTTTGCAAATTTAGTTTAGAAATTTAGTCTCTCTATCATTACCCAAGTAATAAATCATATTTCTAGTTCGACAAATTATATTTTATGTAAGGAGCGAATCCTTGACACTACTTTTTTCACACAATTTTTAGCACATGTTTTAATGGAGCTCATTCTATAATGTATTTAACGATTTGAACCGTTTATCTTTGAAAACATTATTTATGGATCATCCTTGCAAAAAAATTGGATAGATCCAAAATCATTGATACATTCATTTATAGTGAAGAAAATAGACGAATATGATTTTACAAAGAAAATCTAAACCCTTAATCCAACGGTCATATTATTATAGATTTGAGTGATTTTTGGTAAACATAATCTTTGATGAAAAACCTAAAAAATAGATGGTTCAGATAATTAAATTAATTACGAAGTGATCCTTACAAAAACATATGTAAGAAAAATGATACCACAAATCTGTCACCATTATATAATATTATATTTAAATTGCTAGTTTGACAACCTATCATACTTATGGTATGATTAAAAATTATGTTGGCGACTCATCATGAATAAACCCAAGTAGTACGACATTAGACGAATACAAACACATAATTAACACATCTAACCTAATTGTTAGTTTGTCAATTATCTTTTAAAATGTAAGCACTATGTGGTTCAATGGTTGGGGAATAATTTCAAACCCATATTCTGCAAGGTCTATTTTAGGTTCGATTCATAACGCTGATGAAGCATACGATGATGATAAGATAAAAGCTAAAATGTTTCTGTGAGACTTTCCGATCTCCAGAAGAGGAACAACGTGTCAAAGTCACCGACGGAAAAAATTATCATTAAAAAGGTTGGAACTCCCCTTTTGCTAGCAGAATAAGCTTCATATATACAGAGAATAAATCATTTAACCAAATACGTGATTCGTTTGAGCAACCAGCCATAAAATCATTCTCTTTAAACTTGATTCCTGTGCCGTCATCCATTTCTTGTGTGGAACAAAACCTAGCATCTGTCTTTCTTAATCTTCAATAATAATAAGTTCAAATGATTGTACATTTTTTGTGAGACAGCCACAACGTCTCTAACACGTGTTAGCTCATGAGTGGTCGAAATCATTATACTACTTCAATCATTTAAAATTTTTCTAGAATATTGAAAATTCATGAAAACAACTACGTACCATACATTGTTGAATGTTTACAGAAGAATTCTAGAAAAATCAACAAGTGAATTCGAACATCACAAAAGGTTATGCATGCTATACATTGATTGATTTCTTGTAGGAATCCTGTATTTGTGTAGCAAAGTTGGTTTGCTAGTGTTTAATTGAGATAATAAAAAATAAAATAAAAAATTATTTCCGGATTAGAACTTTCAGATTAATGTGCAAGAAATTTGGCTTTTTAATGAGATCTGGTGTTTGAACAAGAAGGCCAGTGACTATTCACTAAGTTTGGCATCATTTAGTCTCCATTTTATTGAAGGATTATGAGTTCAATTATCACAAAAACAAAATGCCGAGACGATGATGTGTGAAAACACTTAATCCATAAGTTTAGTAGATGGAAAATAATGTATAAAAAGAATATAATAGTGTGACATCACTCTTTAACTTTCATGTTGAACAAGTTAATGTTACACCAACAACCTACTAAATTAATCCATAAGTTGATGGTGACAAGTTAATCCCTGAGTTCATGGGGAGTGAATCGGACTGGTAATTTCTTGCATAATTTGTTAACCTGACATGAATATAATAGATTTCAAATTAACCTGTTAACGAGTCAGGTCGTTATTGGATCACTCATTAAGAACCTGATATGATATCATTTGCTAGATCTAAATGTTAGGCCTACCAATTTCTTACATAAAAGAAGGGAACCATGTTCGTGGACAGACCAATTAACTTGACACGAAATGACACCATAGGTTAACCAATTAGGTCTTGAGTTACTTGTTAAGAATCTATTAAGATAATAGGTTTGACATGACACGATATGACCTGTTAAGATAACAGGTATAACACGAAAACGACACAAATATGACAAATACTACCAAATTCCTAGGCCTTGGAATGACGTGATGATCTATGTCACCATTTGGGTAGGTAGTTAATATAATCAATTAATAAGTTAAACTAATTAATTGGAGTATTCAAGTTTTGCTAGGTAGTTTGCCTCATGTGATTGTTGGTGCACTTGGCTTATAATAATATTACTCATCAAACTTTAGCTTCATATATTACTTATTAGAAATTAGTTTGCTTCACATCATGTTGCATGACTGATCAGGATAAAGGCCTCAGCTATTTTAAATGATCTATGTTGATCATCAATTTGGGCTCAACGATAGGATTTGTACGAGTTCAATTATGATATTAGCCTTGGGTTGGGCTCAAATTGGACTGTTCCTCCCACTTTGATAAAAAAAAAAAAAAAGAGTTTTAACGAAAAAGTCCGCTGTACTATTCATTTTAACGAAAAATCACATTTTTACACTAAAAAGTCAAACATAGTACCATTTACTTTACTCTTTATTTTGTCCTTATCGTTAAAACTCAAAATTTTCAAACCATTTTCATTAATTTTCCTAAAAAAAAAATCGTTTTTGTTCGTATTTTTTATTATTTAATTTTGTGAAAATTTCCGTCAAAATTAAGACGCATAGTTGAAAGGGTTGAAGAGCAGCTAGACAAGTCACAACATTACGTTACAAAGCCACAACCAAATAATTACACACAAGTCACAACATTTTAATTTTAGTAAGCTCTCTAGTACAACGTTAGGTTACAAAGATCAACAACTTAAGTTTTGAGGTGACGAGGATTAACCACCTCAACTCTACTAAACCCCTCCTTGTCCTCCGCCGCCTTCGCCACCTCCACCTCCCCCACAACCAGCCCCGCCACGTCATCATCCTCCCCCTTCACGATCATTTCCTCCTTCTCCTCATCCACGTAGTTCGGATCCCTCTCGTCGATCGCCACCGGGACCGGGTCCGTCACATCATCCGCCACGCCACCAGGCCCCTCCCACGTGTACTTGCCACCATGGCCAGACTTGGGCGGAGGCCTCCCGATCCCAGTCCCGTCTTTCGGGTGGCGGTCCAGTCGCTGCACGCCTTTGTCTATGAGCTTCTTCTCGACGTACTTGACGGTGTCGATGTTGTGGGTGTGGAGCTTCATCTTCTCCACCCTCTTCCGGCCATCCTCGTCGTGGCTCACCGCCCGGATCGTCACCGTGTCCTTCTTGCCGTCGATGGGCTTCATTTTTTTATGCACTCTCCCGAGTCTCTTTGTCTCGACTCTTGGGTGTATATAAGGAGAGAGAGAGAGAGGACTAGAAGGTGCTGGGAAGAAGGTAGCATTGTACAAGCTGTTGCTGCAACCTTCTGCCGTGTGGTGGCCTAACAGATTCCCACGTTTTGTTGTATGAATGTTTATCCTTTTTCTGGTAACTCTGAGAAGCTTCTGCACAGAATTTAAGGGAGTAAATTTTGGATCAGAGTGCATGAATCATATCTTTACAAGCCCCGTCATTCGATAGTTCAAAGCTTTGATGGAACCTCTCTTTGATAAGTTTGTTCATTTTATTTTTAATTCAGCAATGTATGTATATATTATTTGGTTTTCAACAAAATTGATATTTGTTTTTCATTTTTGATTTTAGAATAATGAGACAGAGAAACAATAATTTAGGTAAGGTGTGAATTCTCTCTTGTAAATTTATTAAAAAAGAGAGTTGTTATTAGCAAAAACTTTCGTATTACAAATTTTCGATATTTAAAAAGAAATATACACTTTTGAGAACTGCACAATGAAATTCTTAAAATGTATATAATAATTCTCAAAAAAATTGAGAAATTACAATGAAATTTTTTAATAGAATGACCTGTGAAAATAGAGGCGTCGTCCACAAAATTAGCTTGCCTGAAAATGAGCCTGAAGAATATATTCAATAATTGGGGAGCAACTTCTTCAATGAACAGCCCTTCAACCTGCAGTGGGAGACCTTCTATGTGATAGCCCGTCCCGAAATATATTTTATCGATGGTGAAATGACTAAAGTGCTCTTGAACGTTTTGTGGTGTTGTGGGGTCTAAGCTTAGGATTTGGACCCATTTCTTTTATTCCTAAGTGTTTGAACTTAAGTTATTTTCTTGTTTTTGGTTGGGGACCAATCCGGACCACACATACACCCACACACACATGTTGACTATCTCTCTCTCTTTCTCTCTCGACTTCTATCCATTTTCCGTACAACCGTACGGACCACTTCGAACCTAGCTCACTAATCGTGGATCGAGGCTTTGAAGGTTGGTTTTGTGTTCTTTGCCAGCTCCAGAGTTCATTCATGTTCCTAGTTCAACGTGAATACCTCGTTTTCCCGAGAACTAGAGAACCTAGTTTTGGAGCACTGTTCATTCAATCGTAATCGTGGACCTTTCAGTGAGTTTTAAGACCCTAGGAAGCTTTAGAACATCTTCACGAAGCTCGGGGAAGAAATTTGAAGTGATTTAGACGTCGAGAAGCCCTGTTTTGGTGAGTTGCAGAGGTGGCCGGATTATCGTGTCTTTTCCGGCGAAATTTCATGGATTTTAGGACCTAAAAATGGTAAGGTTTTGTTCATCTCATCCTAAGCTTCATTTTGGTGAATAATTCATGAATTTTGGTTGAGAATCGAAGAAGATATGAACTTTTAAAGATTTTTCCAATTTCCAACGATAACAGCGGCATCGGTGCCGAACTCCGGCTAACCAAGGTTGAAGGAGGAGAACATTCTGTCAAAATTGATGGAATATGCTAACACCGTCAGGTAATTATAACAGTATATGCTGATTTTTAACGGAATATTCCCTAATGCCGTTAGGGAATCCGTTTGGTGTGCCAGGCACGTGCTTGAACGTGGGCCGCACGTCTGGCCGTGCCTTGGCCATCACATAAGGGTGCATAGGTGCTCGGAAATTTTTTCTAAAAATATGGGGGTGTTCATGAGGTTGAGTAGGTCTTGGTTGTAAGATCCTACATTGCTTAGGGGTGAGGATCATCTAAGCCTTACATGTACATGCCCACCTCTATATAGCACGAGGCATTTTGGAAGCTCAATAGCTTCAGATTCTGTAGGAACTTCGAAGTTAAGCGAGAAAAGGGCCAGAGCATTCCCAGGATAGGTGACCCATTAGGAAGTTCTGCTTGCGGGAGCTCCCAGAAACAAAACTGTGAGGGCGTGGTCGGGGCCCAAAGCGGACAATATCGTGTTACGGTGGAGTCGAGCATGGGATGTGGTGGGGGCCCAGGCCGGGATGTGACAATTTGGTATCAGAGCCAATCCATGGCTGGAAGTGTGCCGACGAGGACGTCGGGCCCCTAAGAGGGGTGGATTGTAAGATCCACATCGCCCAGGGGTGAGGATCCTCTAAGCCTTATATGTACATGCCTACCTCTATATAGCACGAGGCATTTTGGGAGCTCACTAGCTTCGGGCTCCATCGGAATTCGAAGTTAAGCGATTTTGCGCGAGAGCAATCCCATGATGGGTGACCCATTGGGAAGTTCTCGTATGAGTTCCCAGAAACAAAACCGTAAGGGCGTGGTCGAGGCCCAAAGCGGACAATATCGTGCTACGGTGGAGTCGAGCCCGGGATATGGTGGAGGCCCGGGCCGGGATGTGACATTGGTGGTATATTCAAATACCCCATTTGAGCAATGTGTGAGAATTTCCTAATTTTGTGTATGTGCTTTAAATAACGTTTATATAGTTGTTTCGCATATATGTGAGACCTATCCTGAGGACGAGCGCAGTCAAGCAAGGTTCGGGGGTTACGACCCTTCCACATATCAGTGAGTGGGTTTTTGGTTTTCAGTATATACTTATATAATTGGTATTTTTCCCAGAAAATGTGTTTAAATGAAATTATGTTTTGAATTGCCATGCCTATTGAATTATGCTTATAGTATGAATTAGTATAGTATGCATAAATGTGGTTTGACGTTGTGGACACTCAGGTACCAGGTATGTTGTTGGCTATTTATATGTGATTTGATGATGATGTGAGATATGTTGAGAATTTATAACATGCACCCCAGTGTTAGTGCTCCCGCCCGTGGCCAGGGCACAGGCCTTCACGTGATGTTCACCTCCCGCACTATACGCTCACCTTGGATCCAAGTTAGGTGCACAGTTCTGTCGTACAAACCACTATAGGTGGTTCCGACTCGTAGGTGACCCGCGATTATTCGCACAGTCTTCACGTGATCGTAGCACTAGATCGTATTTATTTATTTACACCCAGTCCTGCCGTACAGACCACTTTAAGTGTTTCCGACTCGTGTGCAGACATACTTGTTGAGCTATAGATTCAATTGTACATTTGTGGATCCGGTTGATATGTTTTTCACCTGAGTTACTTATTCTGTTATTTTGAGATATTTGACGTGGCATACTTATGAATATCGTTTCTGAGCATGGTTTTGAGATATGTATATGTATATATGTATTCTATTTTCTGGGAAATTATACAGGTTTTACGGCGAGGGGTTAGAACTTTTGTTAAATGAAATAGTTTTGAAAAGCTTTGTTTTTGCCCACTTACACTTTCTGTTTTGCGCCCCTCCAGGTTCTAGTTAGGAGTGCTTGCTGGTAGCTTATAAGGAATTCACGGCAGCTCTGACAGATTATCACCAATGTAAGATTATCATTGATGTTGTATGTTTGTACCATACTTAACCAATCCCGAAACTACTGAGCACCGATCAACGTTACTGTCAAGGACCCAGAAGAGTTTCCCTCCAACAAGAGGCCAATCACAGCACGACATGTGTCGACATCAGAAACCAATCATAGCACGACACGTGTCAACATCAGAAGCCAATCATAACACGACACGTGTCAATGTCAGAATGAAACTAGAAACTCTTTTCTATAAATAGAGATCATTCTCTCACAATATTTCCTAATGTCATTTGTACTCAATCATTCACTTGTACTCACTAAAGGAGAGCTTGAACCTATGTACTTGTTTAAACCTTTCACAATTAATGAGAACTCCTATACTCCGTAGATGTAGCCAATCTGGGTAAACCATGTACATCTTGTGTTTGCTTCCCTATCTCTATCCATTTACATACTTATCCATACTAGTGACCAAAGAAATCTAGCGAAGGTCACAAACTTAACACTTTCTGTTGTACCAAAGTCTTCACTGATTTTGTGCATCAATATTTGGCGCCGTCTGTGGGAACGACACTTATTCCCACTTTCTTTAGCTTTGCCAAGCTGGTTTCCACCATTCGTACACTCTCTTTTGACCAGGCATCCCTCTCCAACATGGGGAGCAAAGGAAGTCACATCACACAAAATGACACACTTCTTGATCCTAGTACGAAGCAACGAAAGAATGAAGGAAAAATGGTTGCTCTTCAAGCTAAAGTCGATGAGTTAGAAGCTCAAAACAACAAGATAGCAATGAAGAATGAGGTCCTCCAGGAGCAGTATGAGAAGCTTTTTGAGACGTTCCACGAAACTAGACGTACTCAAACATGCGAGCTCGTTGCCTATGTGGACATCAACCATCATCTGGGTACCTCCCAACACGGAGGGTCATCTCCCTTTGACATGGGTATCCCTGATGAAGAGCGAGCTAATCATCAAAACATTGATCAACATGAGACTTCTCCCAATCCAGATGCTTCGACCTGATGCAGGAGAAGTGGAGGAAGACACCTCATTGCAGAAGGGTTGGAAGGATCGAAAGCTGTTTATCGTGACTGCCGAGACTTCCTAAAGCAACGTCGAGGGAATCCCCTCCACATATGCTCGAAGATCAATGACCCAAGGGTTTCTGAAAGACTCAGTCCCCTTCCACGATCTAGGCCTGCTGCCAATCTAGGGAAGGAACAACAAGTCCCAGATGAACATGAAGGTATAGGGGACTCTGAGGTATTCCGACAGACTCGCCCTAGAAGTTAGTACAACAAGTCAAAGAAAAAACCACACGCCCTTGCTTAAACTTTCCTATTTCCAAGAGGCGATGGAGACTTACGAAAGAAAATTCCAGTAGTACACGGCTCCACTCAGGACCCCCTTGTCCTACAGCTCCTTGAAGAAGTAAACAAGTTGAAGGCCAAACTGCAGGCTGAGATACATGATTGGAACCAACCCAGGCCTGTCCCTCTCACAAGGAGGATCCTCGACACCCTTCAAGCGAAGACAAAACGAAAGCTTGGTTTACAACTATATACTAGAAGGGAGGATCCAATTGAACACCTTAACCTCTTTGAGTCCACCATGACATATCGGATGTACACCAACGAAGAACGATGTCTTCTCTTCCCCTCCACCTTATCTGGCGGAGCTCTAAACTGGTATTGTCGTCTTCCACCTGAGACAGTAGACTCATTTGAGGAGCTGAGGAAACTGTTTGTTTCTCAACACATCTTCCAAACTGATCGCTTACATTCTACAGATGACTTGTACACTATTCGCCAGAAGCCGGATGAGTCATTACGAGAGTATGCCGATCGCTTCAGCCATGAGTATTCTCGTTGCGCTAAGGCAGATGACAAGACCGCCCTCAAGGCCTTCAAGGCAG